CGGTCGGTCGGTCAAAGGCCTTTGACTGACCGTTGACCGACCGTTAACCGACTATGACCGACCGTTACCATCCCTAGAAATTACTATAAATACTAATAATTTAATTAATTTGATTAATAGGTGAGTTTTACAACGGGTTAATTTGAAAATTAATATTGCAGACATTTAAATGTTTATCATTTTATTATATTATAGTATAACAATATTGTACGCAAATAAACTATAGCTGTTCGATATTGTACAATGATTAACTATCAATGCGAAATAAAGTATATTATAAACAAATATAGGTCAAACAAGCTCAGCATGATCCTATAGGGACATGGGATAATTATTTGATGTCGTAAATTTAAATTTTATATTAAGCACACGATTTATCATATTAATGCAAAGATTGTTAGCGAGTTTTTTTTATTTATTGCGTTTAAAAAAAGTTTTTTTTCGGATATGAATATGTTGAATATGTTGGTTATTTGGACTTTATATAATTGGTCTGTACCCAATATCATCACAGCTTTTAATTGACCATTAACCGGCCATCAACTGACCATAACTGAATGTTAACTATATCCCTAATCATATCCATAGAAACGGTAAGAACAGTCCATTCAATTTAATGAAAAGAATTTTTTATTTTAGTTTTTATATTAGATTAAGATTGACCAATCAAAAATTTGATTCGTCATTTTTATGTTAAAAAAAAAAAGATTTCTGGGATTTCTGGAGTCAAAGTTAATTTAAGTGAGATATAATTTTATTTTGAGTTCATATCGAGGTCAATCAGTTAAGCTGATTTAAATTCTTAATTGGTTTATACATTATAATTTACAGAATAAGGTAAGGTAAAGCTTAAAAATACATTTTTCATAAAAATCTTAATTGTTTAACAAAAAATAATTTTAATCATAACTATTCAAGAAAAGGGAGACAAATAATAAATACTCAATAAGGAAAAATTATTGAAATAGAGATCAATTTGATTATGAATTAGAAAGAATATATTCAATTAATTCAATAAAATATCAGTAAATGATGAATTTCTTGATAATGATAGCAATTAAAGAATATAGATGTTGTAAATAAAAAATCTATTTATAATCTAAAAGAATATAGAAAAGGATGCTATAAATATACATTGAAATCTCTACTCTAAATTCTAAAATTTCCTCTAAACTTTAGAGAAACGTATAATAAATGAAAATTGATGAATAGTATATATTGGAATATAACATTCAAATTTGTATAAATTTATAAAGTATATAGAAAATATGATATGAAATAAAGTGTCGGTAGTAAAGTAAATAAGCTTATGAGCGGAGAACATGAGTAAGAAAAGTATTAGAAGTAAAGTTGAAAGCAAAATATTTCCTTAAAGAATGAAATGAAAAAAAATAATTAATGAAATAAGTGAAATAAGTGTGATTATGAGAAACAATCGAGTACAAGATGTAAAAAAATGGTACATAATACAATTAATGGAAAAATATATATAGAATATATAGTGGAAATAAGAATAGTAATGAAAGAGGGTATCTGAAAGAAAAATTGAATTTAAATAATTACAGGAAAAAGTTAACGAAAAGTGTTACTAAGGGAAAATTTGGATGCGGCGTATGAAAATACAATATAATGTAAATGATAAAAGAAAGAAAGAAACCAATATAGAAGGAGAGGATAGGTTTAAAGAATCTAAGTGAAGAAGTATAACCTTTAAATAATGACATTCGATAGATAGCGAAAAGGGGATATAGTATAGGCAAAGGTATGATAAAAGAAAGAAAGAAGAAAATAATATAGTAATGACAGGAAATATTTAAAGAAAATCTATATCAGAGGAAAGATATGATATATAAAAAAATAAAGATAAGGAAAAAAGTGAGAAGGAAAATGGAAAGCGAGGAGATAAGCTATAGACATTATAATATAATAGATAACATAGATAACTTCCAATTAATGGTTCAACAAATTTAAGAAATACTTTTAAAAATTACTTCCATTTAAAAAGTCGTTACCTAAAGCACAATTTGTTTCTTGCGGCGTAGTTATTTGAGTCATTCTGTAAATGAAGCTCTCTCTATAATTTTGATTTATGGTATTCACGGAGGCTGCTAAAGTTGCGAATTGATCTCTTTGAAATGCCGTTGAAGTATTCCAGATATATTCCGTTGCCAGGTTAATGATATGTACATTATACATACGCAAACGAATAGCCTCACGCTTTACATTTCGTTTTAACAAAATTTTTGCAGTAATGGTTCGAATCTTTGTACCATATCTCATTTGAGCTGCAAGTATATTAGCGTTGCTATTGAAAGGCGGGTAAATTCTACTAAGAATAATACGTGGTAAAAAGTGATTTAATATCGTAGGCATGTTACGACATCTTCTGATTCTTAAAAGTGACATTGGAATAATTTTATGAAACCACCATTTAAATTCCAAATGTCTATATTTATAGATTTTAAGGTAATACCTTGTACAACACCATGTGGATAACATCAATACTGAAACTGCTTCATTTTATGGTTAGACTGAAAATTTTCACGTTAACGTTCTCACATCAGAAGACTGATCTCGGCCTTAACATTATGCCTTCATTCAAAATCTACCAAAAGCATAAACTTTTAAGTTTTATAAGAACGAGCACAAAGCCTCATGCACAATATATAACAAATCGGATTTAAGGCGAGGCTCATTATATTCCATAATTAAGAAGATTCAATAAATGATATCATATAATCCTACAGTTATTAATGTGATTACAATCTTTTTATCTTTTTATTAGTAATAATTGGTGGTTATTTCATATTAGAATGTTCGATTTCTAAAGAAATTTCTCTGCTTTCTACAAAGAAAAAATTTACTTCTTCGAATGATTTAAATAAATATCATATTTTATATTGAAAATATAATGTACCAATATAGTAGAATTTGCTTTATTAATTTAATTATTGAACATTACATTAATCACGTCTCTTTGTGTCTCAATATGGACGACAAGCTATTTTTTATAAAATATCAAAGGATATCTACGAAATAGTTTAGTTAACAATGCACTTTATCATTGCGTCCGATTGCCCCTTTAGAATTATTTAATAGTTTTTCGGAAAACATTTTTCCATGGTGATAATACTCTTGATAATCTATTTATCATTGTCCACCGCAGAAAGCTTTCCTTCTTTTTTAGTTGTTATTTCTTTGTTCTTTATTTAAACAAATAAAATATATTATTAATTTTTTGTTATCAAATGAAAGGTTGTAAACTAAAAAGAAAAATTTTTTCATAGTCCATTATTTTTTATTGTACAATTTTGGTAACTTTTACTTTGTCAAAACTAATATGGACTTAGAACAATGAATAAGTGATGTCATCAATAATCAACTCTTTGAAAAAAGATCATAAACAGAAATTTTCCTCGTTTTGTGTAATAAGTTTATGTATGAATTTACCTCGAGAAATCTTTTAAATAACTGAATATTCATTATGTTTGTGGGAATACCATATTGAAATATGACTAAGTGAATCATATGATTCGGATATGATTTATATAGCAAATGAGTCATAAGTTAAATTTGCAGTATTACTTAAATTTAAATGCTCTTCTGTGTTGCACCAAAAAACTTATACATAAAGTTTTTGTATTCTTTTGGATGGACAACAATGGAATCATTTATAACTTCATTTATTTAAAAAAATCTCTCTTTGTTAAAAAAGCGCAATAAAATAATTTGTTCACCAATTAGTGGCAAATAATGTTAAAGGATCATTTAATGTGGATGCGTTTGTGTCTAAATAATAACGAAGATGCAACGCCGCGTTTTTTTGTAAGCGATAAAAAAAAGACCAACTTTTCTATCAAATGTGAATTTTTTTTTTTACGGCAGAAATTATTCGCACAAAAACTTGGCTAGGAATTAACAAGAATTCATGATTATGTATACAATTTATAGGAAATTACTTTACAAGTCAAATTGATTTTATGAGAGGTTTAATAAATATCAATGTTTTTATATATTATTAATCAAAATAAAAAAAATATTTTAGAACAAAAGTCGTTTCAGTGGCGCTTAAATATTTCTTTGCCTTATACTATAGCCGATGGAAGATATCTGCCGAAAAGCGTAAGTTTAAGAAACTTTCATAAGCTTGTGTTGTGTAATTTTTCAACGCGCGTTTATAGAAGTTTTTGTAAATATTATCATTCACGCGAATGCGGTACGGTAATTATCATAAAAGATATGGCACGAGGACTGAAGAAAATTTTCGTATGAAAGCACATGGTAAAAGAGAATTTTAGAACTTTATAAAAAATAATAAATTTTCTATGAAGAGAAAGTTTTATTTCTTCAATGTTTATAATAAAATTTATTTTCATTATATATTGCAACTGTAAATCATTAAAAATTCCTATAAAAGAAATAAAGTAATGACATTCATTGATGATGAAATATTTTGTTATGTTGTTATCTCTATTTGGATAACAAGCTTTCTGTATGAAAATAAGAAAATCCAGCAATGTAATGATAGAATTTATTATTGGTGAATTTTGTATTTTAAAGAATGTTTCATTTACATTCATCCAATTACTAAATATGGTTTCATTCATTTGGCAACATGTATTTCCTGTAATTATTTCCTGTAATTTACTTTTTATCATGAATCGGAGTTCGCTTTCATTTCATTCAAAGCAAAGAAAAAATAAAATAAACAATTAGTCATTAATATTGTTGGTTATTTTTATAAAACAAAAAAAGGAAAGAATGTAAGTAATATTTTAATGGTGCTGCGACATAAAAATGGTAATTTAATATTGAAATTATTGATATGATACATACCGAAATAACTAGCATGAATACGGCTCATTTTGTATCACATGTCGTGTATAAATTCTTTCAAGTGTGTTACATGGGGAGTTACGCGGTCACTATGTCAATCAAAACCACATTGTCGTACCATATCATTTCTGTATTAAAAATTTAATTAAAATTTGACTTGTAAAAAATTCCGTAAAATTGATTACATTAATTAATCCTAAATTCTTTATAATTCATCCAAATATAACTGTCTTCATGCTTTTTTCAAAAAAAAAAAAAAAAAAAAAATAAAAAAAAATTTGTTAGAATAGAATACTTATTTTTTTTTTTAAAAAAAAAAAAGTGATTCCGAGTGTAAATAAACGTTTAAAGATTTAGAATCGGTGTGAAATGATCGACATTAGTATAATTCGTTAATTATGTTTTCAGTTGTAATATTGTAATATGCATTATAGAATTTAAATGTCCAGCTCTTCTTAATAATGTGCAGGTTTAATTCTATTTGAAAACTCAAATTTAAATTAATCGTTATTTCAAAGATTTTACGAGAAAGAAGTTATTTTTTGAAATTACTGATAAAATTATTTATTCTTATTTTGTCAGTCGCGATATGTTACATGTTAAGAGGACGGACGATCATTTATAATACTTCATTTTCGTAGAAATTTGGTCAAGACGATTCTTTTCATGTTAAAAAAATTTTTGATCAGGTGATGAAGTGAAACGGAAACGTAATTCCGGCCTATAGATTTAACATTAACTTTATTTAATTTTACGACATTACTTTCGTGAGTGAAAGCGCTATCAATTAAAAATTTAAGGATGCTATTCCCATTAGAGAAGTTACCCGAGTCATTCAATAATTTCGGGTATGAATAACGGTAAATTTCATTTTTAGAAAATTAACAAAGCAAAGCAAAGTGACGATCAAATTATAAATAATTACTTTTTTTAAGGGTATAGTTCTTTGAAGTTGATCCACACCGGAAAAAGGGAACAAGGATTCCTTGTAATATTAACTCAGGTAGATATGTAGATGAAGTAATCCATCTTAAATCACTTTCGCGACCATTTAATAATAATTCCCCCTGCATTTTTAAGTAAAATAGTTGAGGAGTTATTTCTTCAAGCTATGCGAAACGTTACAAAGAAAATACTTGTGCTTCGTTTAACATTTATAGATAATATAAATCTTGACCAAATATAATTGGACGTATGTTGTATCATGCATGTACACCGATTTGCTACAAATCGGAATTGCATTTTTTAATTAATTACTGATTCGGAAATCTCGATTATCTATTATGCAGATACAATGAAATATTGCTAAATAGATATTATTATTAATGAAGCAATTCAACACGTGGCTCAATTAAGAAATAGGATGAATGAGATCACGATTTAATAATAGACTCCAAGAGCAATTTTTACTGAACTTTCTTTATTAATATTAGATTAAATCGATATCTTTCAAGTAGTTCTAAACAACTTGGAAAATAAAGTTCAAGATAATCAAAATCATTGGCGAAATCTGCTCCTGGGCGCTACAAAACTCGGTCATGACATAATTAAAAGCTTATCATGTTACATACTAATAAATGCGATTGCATTTCACCTGTTTGTTTTGGTTTCTTTTCATACGCCAACTGAAAAATGTAATTTGTATTAAACAAATGGGTGAGATTTTCTGTTAGGCGAACCATATCGATCATAGAATCATGCAATTTGGTTTGAAAAAATAAAGAAGTTCTTTGTAATATAACAAGTTACAAAACGCCCACTTACATGTGAGCGTAATACACACATTCCCAGTCAGACGAAGGATAGTAAGAATTCTTATAAATATCAAGCCGTGAATGTTGATAAAAATCAGTCCTGGTTATTCGTTTCTTTTCTAAAATGAATAATCAGCTTAATTATCTTTTGAGACAAGTAAATTATAATACGATTAAAGCCCCCGATATACAATATGTGCGAAACCTCATTTCTCAAGTGATGAATGGTAGAAATTATCGAAGAATGACGGGTAGAAAATTACTGAAAAGAAACGTGATACTCGAGGCCAATAGAGTTAATTTTCATTATCGACATATAATTAATCTTGCGACGAACCATTTTTGGTCGCATTTAACCGTTTCCCAGCGAAATCAATTCACAACTTTAGCGAATAGAGTAAATTTTATGAATCCAAACTATACCATTCGCATGGATACACTTTTAAGGATTTCTCAATTAACTGGACGACAAGAAACGACTAGTGAATTTGCAGACATGTTTTATCATGGATCTAGTTTTCCTTGATGAAATATTGTTCCAGAAAATTTCCTATGTTTCTGTATTATTCTTTCTACCATTTTTTCAATAATACACAATTTTAATTTCCACTCAACATCAATTTCGTCAATTTCTCGAACTATAACGATTCCTATTAAATTTATTCATATTCTTTATCTTTTAGCGTTAGAATTTTTTCATTCGATCATTAGTTCCTTTTTCTCATCAAAAACCCTACTATTTTATTATTTACTTTTCCATTCCATAATCACAACTAGTTTCATATCATTTTCTCTAAACTATATCATTCGATATTTTTCAAGCATTTGACAAATGAACCCACCAAATACGTTACAAATCAAATATACCAAAGTTAACGTTAATCGACTTCTTTAAATATTAAATATACCGAATATTATTATATACAAAATATACAACAACATTCTTTTCACTTTACATATAATTATTCTCGAAATGAAATCTTATTCAAAAATTTAACGCGGCACTCGCAACACTTTACACCAAAGAATCTCTTTTTTATTCTTTTTTGAAAAATTAGCAAAAATTGCTATCGTTATATCAAACTTTAATTATAATTATCAAAGAGAGATGTAAATTTGCATTGAGCTAGTAATAAGGGTTGCAAATCGTCGCCTAAGCCTTATTTAAAGCTTTAATTTTATTTTTAATAATTTACAAGAAAAATATTATTGAAATTATTTAAAAAGAAAGTACCATATCTGAATGGGGAAATAGTTAGATTGTAAAGCGAAGGAAGCTACATTAGAACTATGTAAGAATAATGAAAATATTGAAAGGAATGATAGTGATGTTATATTATGTGAAATAATTAAATCTATTAGTAGAATTAATGAAGGCTTATGTCTTTTAAACACAAATCTTTGAGGGAATATGACACAAGATATATCCTATGAAGTTGTTCACGTTACTCATCATGCGACATATAATTTCGATTTATATTATTTACTTATTCACTAAAGTTGTGAATTGATTTCGTTGAGAAACTGTTAAAAACTTTCTCATATGGTTCGTCTTTAGATTAATTTATTATGTCTAAGACCTCATGAATTATCTCCCGAGTTTATCCCTTAAATGGTTTGCTAAATTTCACATGTTTCAGATAATCAAACTTTTATCTGACGTGCTAGTTACAGATCAATATCAATGGACCGACAATGCTCCGAAATATTTGCAGTTGCAGTCATTTCCTTATTTAATTGAATAAATAATTTGTATTTCGCATTTTTTTTTATTCATAGATTTTTTTTATTATTATTATTATTGTATTAAAACTTGGTTTAGCCTGAATAAAAAGTTTGTATAGTTTAGATAAAGTTATTGTAAATCAACAATTGCATGTTTTAATCCAATGAGCATTTCTTTCATTGTAAGAATTTAAAATATACTTCAAGATTTTGACGTAATCGAAGCATATGACAACGATTAAAATTATTCGTTCTACATTTTATGATGAATTTTATAGGATTAATTAACCAAAATCTTTAATATCTATGTGAATATCGACTATTGAATTACCAAAGTTAGCTCGACATTGCATCATCATCAAATGGTAATGCATAATTTAAAATTTGCCAAGAATTAACGAAAATTCTTTAAGTAAAAATTCCTTATAAACGCAATTCATTTGAATCACATTATTAAGGGATTCATACTTTCTCTTTGGAATTATCAGTTTATTGATCACCTATTAAAGTATTATAGAGTAGATTTTATATGTGAATTTTTTTTTTATTTAATAAATAATTAACTTATTTGGAAATAAATTAACATGCATAACTGTCAAATTTCTATCGATCGAGTTTACAGCGGTTTCATCCTAAAGTGGAAAAGTTTTTTATTCGCTATAAAAAAAATTTTTCCCTTTATATGGTGTTTCTGACTAATTCGCCCAACTAATATTAAATTCAAATTCTATTATTACAATATAGAAAGAAAACTTTTCTGATTTATAACCGGTTAATTAAGTTGTTTTCATAATACACGGGACAATATAAGTTTTGCCGGCCCTGCCGGTAGCAGTGATGGCAAATTATATTTTCAAATGACCTTGGTCATTTTGACTTGAAATTTACAATAAAGTGAGGTCATTTGAGGTTATTTGAGGTCATTTCAAGGTCATTTGCCAACACTGGCAGGTATCATTGGTCACGTGAAATAATTTGTTTTGTAACCAAGAACAAATAAAACAAATTTTAACTATTCATATTAGATAACAAAAAACCGAAATGTTTTAGAAGGCTAGACAACCCGTCAAAACGTTAAACACCCCGGGTATTAGTAAAAAATCTGTTGGTCGCAGATTAAAATTTGAATTGTTTTTTATTAATTTATTTGTTACAAAACTATCAAACCTGTTCAACGTTCCCAACTGACAATCAGACCGGCAAAATTTATTTTGTCCCGAGTCTTCAGAAAACAGCAGTAAAAATTTACAATAAATCAGGCCGGGTACAAAAAATTTAAAGTTAGAAAATTGTAAATATCTTAAATCTAAATCTAGCCGAATAGTATATCTCGGCCAGAGTTAAAATCAATTATATCCCAATTAAGATCGGCAAAATTTCAGGAGATAAAAAACTAGACCCGTCCCCGCGCAATTTATCGATCTCCATTCATTGCAGTGCGGTTTACAAGAATCTTTTATTTATAAAGTAAAAAGAACAAATAATTACTTGAAATATGTATAAATTGTTTGTCTTTATATAAAAAGAATATTTTAATTAGCTAGATTATAATCTGTATAAATAAATATTTAAATATTTTTAAAATCAGCATATTTATAAAAGCAAAGCTACAGCAGTCTTTAATTCTAAGCATTTATATTCTTCTATCATCAAATTGTCTGTAATGAAAGCTGAAGGATGCAGGGAAGCAATGTGCATTTCAGACCAATCTGAACAATGCTAAAAATGCTGATTGTTTTGGCAATGATCGGCAGAAATTAGACTATATTTCGGCCAACATTCGGCACTTTAAAAAAGTGACGAAATGGATTATTTCGACTAGTGTCAGGTGTGAAACTCTTTCTCCTCGTTGGATTTTTTCCAAGAATTTTTACTTTAAAAAGTGTCTGTTCAACGGCGGCCACGGCTTAGCCTGCGAACAAAACAAAAAACCCCACCTTTCAAAAATATTTCTCTCTTTGTTCCCCACACCCCTCTTCACATAAAAGTTTTCGGAATAGTCAAACCATGTTGTTTTTTGTTAAAATATTTTTCTTCACCTCTTTTCGAAAAATTTTTTCCGTTTTTTCTTTTTTTCTTTTTTGTCTACAAAAAGTAGGCATCAAGGGGTATCCCAACCAACGATCATGATCGACATACTTTGGATAAACAAATCTCACGTGATGACACCTTTCCCCTTTCTAAACAATATACTTTCTTTTGATTGGCTTCTGCCTTTCTGCAAATCCTCTGTCGTCGAAGGTCACATGCAAATTTAACGTTATTCTACTTTGGTATCTCTGGACGTTGTCTATTTGGAGTGATGGTAGCTACCACTTGGTCTGGTATTTTTGTTAACTCAAATGGGTTTAAAATAGAGCAACAGGACGCCTTTGTTATCAAGATTCTTACTCAGTGTAAGTTCGCTTCGTCTAGATATATGCCTTCCTGGTAACCAGGTAAAGAATATAGGTTACTATCTGTAGATATCTTGTAGATTTTTCGTAGTGGATTCCATGTGATATTTTTTCTGTACTTATGAATCTATAAGTATGAAGAGCCTCTGTTTGGACCTTTCTTTGGACGCATCCTCTTTGGTCGGGTAGTTGTTATATCTGAAATTAACTGGAAATTTAGGTTTTTTATAGAATCATGTTTAGTTGTTTGTAAATTTCTATATGTGCCAATTCCCTACTTTAGGTGTTGTTTTTAGTGTTAGAATTTTCTTTTGAGGGAAGTTAGGGTTCGACGAACATATAAAAATTAGATGCTTTCTGACACTTTATTACCACCCCCTTCGGAGGTGGCGGTGATCAGTCGACTCAAATGAGTTTAAAATAGAACCACAGAAGGTAAGTCGCGTATTTTAGTATTTTTTTAGAATTTTTTTTATTTCTTCAATGTATAATACAAATAAAGTACTCCGCTAGACTGCATCGTTAACAATTAAAAAAAAAATTATTTCAACTAGTGTCTATTATATTATTGCCCTTTGCCAACAATTTGAACTCAAACTTACTAGACTACCCTTTAATATTACCCAATTAGATCTATCTGACTTTTTGGCTACATAAGCTTGTCCAGCAGAAAATATTTGATTATCAAGACTAGGGATACTAATGGTTATGGTCATGACTGATGATAACCGGTGTTAATTTTAGGATTGTATTGAAACCAAGGTAATGACGATACATGCAATGTAATTCGATATTTCAGAATCCCTTTTATTCTGGAATATATCACTAAAAACTTTTATCACAATTCAATTGTGTAGATTGGTTATCACAAGCAGAGCCTATGTGGAGATAAGAAGAAGGTTTGAAAGTGTAAAAGGTTTTTATTATTTGAAAGTCCGTAAGTCTATCATCAAAACTTTACAACGATTGGACTATATCCTTTTTGTAATTAATTTTTTTTCCAGCATATATATACTAAATTTAAAACTATGCATTTTAATAATAATAAATAATACAAATAATATAAATGATAAATATAAAATAAAAAAAAATAGAATGATGAAATAATAGAAATTGATTAGCTTCTGATAATACTTTAGCTTCCAGCCACTTAGCCATATAGTCCATTGCTGTCATTATGTACAGTCAACTCTTGATATAACGAATTTTATGTCTTGAACTTCAACTTCGCTATAGAGCTATAGTGAATTTTTTAAAGAATTTGATTGGCTAGTTCATTATAACGAGGGTAAATTTAATATAGTTATCCAAAAAATTCGTTATATAAAAATTCGCTATAGAGAGGTATGACTGTATTGATTTTCTTGTTCTGTAACTGGTAATGTTCCTACTATGTCAATTCCTA